TAACAGGGTAGGAGGGAGCGAGTGTCGGGCAGCCAGGGGAACTCCTGGCGGACGGCCCAGAGGGCGGATGGGCGGCCAGGGAACTTCTGGGGATCGGCCGGGTGAGTGGACAGAAGCCAGGCTTTGGGGCGCTGGTGACAGGTCACAGGGAGCCGGGCTCTGGGATGCTGACGGCAGGTCACGGGGAGTCGGCTGCAGAACCCCCCGCTTAAGGGCCAGATTGCTCGGATCTTCTGGATGCTTGAGGAATTGTATTATTATTGATAGCTTCGACTTCAGTCCTTCATCATCTAGTGACTGTTTCACTAAGCATGGAATTCAGCCCCATCCATACGGCACAGATTTGTCGTTCCCATATGCTGCCCTGGTGAGAAGCTGCTGATTTATTTTTTTGACAAGTAGCGCAGCGTCAATAAAGTGAGGCTTTATAAATTAACACAAAGGGATTTTGTATTTGCTCATAAAGCCAGAAAAAAGGGTTATTTGGCTGATGTTTTGATAACCGACCGCTGCATATTCAGCGTTTCCCATCATTATAACAGGGGTGCGTAACCCTAATGGAGACACTGCAATGTACCTAATCAATGGGAACAAGTGTGTCTGTCCTCCGACTCATGTATTTAGCAGTGACTGGAAAGTGGGTTCTGGTTTTATCTGTTATATGGCATGTGGGTCGATACATATGCCCCTATGTTGTTTAATCATCCGAACGGCAGGTGGGCTATTTCAATATGTACAACTGAAAATTCCGCTGCAGCGTTTAACAAGGCTGCGTCCACGCTAGACTTCAAAAAAGGACCAAAGAAATCAACACAGGATGGCTGATCTGGCAGTAACCGGTCTTCTGGCAGGTCTATTTTCTGCTTCTCAGCCTTGGCGTTGAACCTTCTGCATACTGTGCATCTTGAATATTTTCCTGACTGCTAAGTTAGCTTGAGGGACACAGTATTTTTGACGTAGCAAATGTCCAATTTCTCGATGGATGTGTTGTAGTACGAGATTGGCAAGAGGCGAATTTGAGAAAATAACTGGATGTTGAGACTCCAACTCGCAGTATCCTGTCCTGCAATATGGGGTCTAGTCTGTAGAGTGGACGATTTTTCTTGACAGCAGAGCACGGATTTCTTCTGCATACGGACTTAGTCAAATGAGCTCAATTTCTGCTGTAACCAAATCTTCCAGAGATGGACTTATTGTCAATGTTTACTTCAATTCCTTCATGTGCTGTACAATAAGCCTTTCCTGGGTTATTTTCAGCAGGATTGATGGTAGCTTGGAGCCGTTATGGCTGTGTTGGTTTCTGAACTCAAATGCAACACTCCGGAGACAGGAAAAGGTTAATGCCCGGCTAGGCGTTTTAATTGTCGGAAGTCCAGTTATCCTTACTGTGCATTTAAACATATGCATCCAGAAGAGCAGTCAGCATCCCAGCATGTGCAGGTTGGCAGCCAAACAATCTAGACGAGCGGCGACGGTGGGAGACAGACAACTGCAGATCTGGAACGAGGCAAAAAACAAGCAATCAGAATGACTGCAGAAAAAAGGTTCTACAAGGTCCGAACAGCAACAATGTAGTCTTTAGCTCTCTTGGTACTTGCCAGGTGATTCTATGGGAAGATCTGGCGAGGAGTGATGGAAAAGCAGGGTACTTGAAGGCTCTGGTGAAGATTGGAAACTGGATACAGGTGTGCAGTGTCCACACCCAGCCAGCTCGTTACCAGGATGGAAAACACATGAGGCCTTGAGTGTCTAAGTGACAGGGTGACGATTGCGCAATGGATAGCGAGCAGGGACTCCAGTGGCAGAAGGCAGAGGTGGCGGTTTTGAAACCGTAACAGGAGCTCCTTTCTCTAGTTTAGGTGCATCAATGTATCCTTTGGTCTGAGAAACCAAGCTACTGCCTATTTTAATGGTAGCCATCCCGAGAAGCAATTAGCTTGTTAACTGGGTCTAAGCTATTCGTTGTGCTGCACATGATGACTGTAGCACATGTCTTGATTTCTGGGTCTTCGTTGCTGAATCCTCTTGATCCAGTAGCTTTGGACACTCACTTTGTGGTTTCAGCAAGAATGCAGGACCTTGGCTCCATGTCTTGCTCTAGATGAACTTCTCAGCTTTCCAACCTCAAGAAGCCTGATCAGCGGGATATAATGCAGAGTTGACATAATGCCATTGTCTAGGGCGGGAATGCTCCCTAATTGTGGTAACTCTGTTCGCTACGAATATTTTGAGGCGTGTGACGGGGCTTTAGGGGAAGCAACCAACAACGCCACCGGGGGACTTTCACCCAAAGAATCAGATTTCCATACAAGGCACGCAAATAAGTGACTGTTACTTAGATAGAGACGTTTGTAGTAATTAAGAAAAAAGGTTTTATTAAAGACAACGATAAAACCAAGGTAAGCACAAATCACTAAAAACGGAGTTAAGTTGAACACAGCAAACAAAACTGAAGAAACAAAGTAAACCAAAGAAAACATAAAATATAAAATGGCACAACGCCAGCAGGTTTTCCCTCTCTCTATCTTTACAGCACAGGACTAAAGGGGGACTTGTGTTAGTATAGTATACAAAATTTAAGACACATACAATTTAACAACACGCAAACAAACATACCTGTACACCACAGGACCAAAGGGGCCCGAGGCCATGGTCGATTGACATGTGCCAAGTACCAAGTGGTACTTCTTAGAGTGCCGTTACGTCCCCCGAGGAGGTACACACCTATTTAAGAACCATAGTTCTACATTGTTACAACATACTTTAATGTGTCACTGTATATTTCCACGTTAAACTTTCACAAATCCACTCCTGGTATTCACCCTCTGCCCAATGGGGCCGCATGCCTTGGCAGAACTCTGCCTTACTCCAATTTCCTTCCCCACTCACAAAGACAGAGAACTTTATACCAGAACCCTCTCAAATACTAACAGTTTGAGGTTTTACCTCGATAAAAGCTTTCTAAATAAAAACATGATGGTATTATTAGTATTACAACAGATACTGAGTGAGAGGGAGGATGGATGGAACTGGAACAGCACAAGCAATCTCTGACGGACTAAAAAAAGGAAGTCCAGCTGAGATCATTTGCTAAAATGGAAAGCCGAAAGTATCCCAGTCACGGTACTTATCTATAACACATAACACTATAACACGTTATAGCACGATCAGACACTGTCAGTGTACTGTTGACCCATTGTGTTCTCGCTGAAAAACGACTCACAATCTATTAACAATAGCCTAATGAGATTTTACTTTTCCTAAATTTAGATCTGGCTAAAAACTCATTGCAAAGTGAATCATATACTGACACACTATTGAGATTCATTTGTACTTTGGCAGCCGTATCTTGAAATGAACAAATACATGCCTATGCTTTATTCAGGGATGTTAAAACCCATTTGAAATGCATGCATTTTCGCCTGCATTATTAATATGCCCTGCCTGTGTTGAGGGTTACCCTACATCTGTAAGATAACTGCCGTACATCTATCAGACAGTTTGTCTCAGGCAACGCTTAGGACTACAAGAAGGCCAGATATGACCTGAGCAGATCCAGTTCTTTCCATGGGCTTAGTTGGGGGTTCGCTGTCTTGTCTTGATTTAAGAGTTAGGTAAGGGGGGAAGCAGGATGTGCCGAGCAGGCAGACACGAGTCTGACAAGATGGGGAGTCAGTTTCTGCCCTCGCTGAGGAATGCAAGGTCTGCGGGTCAACTAGTAGATTTGCTAGCCAAAGGGGGGTTTAGATTATTCATTTTTCAGATCATTATTTTGGATTGTTCGTACCTGTCATTTCAAAAAGCTCCTAATTATGAGGGTGTCCCGAGATGCTAGCTGGTGGAGGAAATTCCTTTGATTAGCGCCCTTGGAGAGCGGATTGAGGTATGAAGGATGCATGTGATGTTTTATTTGTCATAGCGTTTTAAACGTATTTCATTTCACTTTGGCTAGTATTTCAAATGATTTGTATCGAGTGTAAACATTATTTTGTATAAGTTAATTGTTGAAACTACATAGAAGCATTGTGTATTTCTTCTGTTTCATTCTGTAGTTTTCACGTTGTTCACGGTGTTCAAGATGTTCACGACGTCATGGTGCTTATGGTGCTTGTCGAGAGAAACAAAATAAATCAACACCCATTGATCAATCAATCCGAGGGGCCGCTACAGTCGGTTCGATCCCAGGCCCGGCTAACCCACATGTCGATGTGTCCTTGGGCAAGACACTTGTAGCCCAACATTGCTCCTGTAGCTGTGACTACAGCGTATAAATGTTAGTTACTGACGGGCAGGTGTCACTGTCTATGGTTCTCCTGTCAGTGTATGAATGGGTGTGAATGGGTGAATGATGTCATGTAGTGTTAAAGCGCTTTGAGTGGTCGGAAGACTAGAAAAGCGCTAAACAAGTACAGGCCATTTACCATTTATCACAGGAGCTAAGAGACAATACAGACTGAAGCTGGAGGGATTTCCCAAAGCATGTGGCAAGGCCTGCAAGACATCACAGGATACCAACAGGGGAGCAGTTTGTTCTGAGGAGAACAAACCCACGGAAGGCCTCTAGGCCCAAAAAATATCTCCGGGCGTGCCCTCAGGGCCAGCTCATCAGAGCGACATTATCAACCCGTCACTAGCAATAGCTCATGTGCCCACCTGCTTCTATGCTGGAGTCCTCTTCTTCACCTCAACTTTTAATACAGCCATCCCACACTATAAAACACCTCACTCTGGGTCTGCAGTTTTTGGGGAGAAGAAAAACCAGGGGGTCCTCAATGTGTGGCTTCTTATTTACACATTATGAACTGTGTTTAGACCCTGCTCAGTTCAGGAACCGCACAGGAGGAGGGGACACTGCTGCCGGGAGCTAAGCCTCCCCCATGCCTCCACCCACCATATCGGAGCTCCAACTGTAGGCGGAAGGGGGATTTGGGTCTGTCCGTTTGGAGCCGGTGAAGCAGCGCTGTTTATTTGGACGGATATATGAATAAAGAAACAGAAAATATTCTTGCAGTTGTCTTGTTTAATGGTATTGAGGAATCTGCATTGTTAACAATGTACTAAAAACGAAGGAATCACACGTCCCAGCTCGTATTGATGCCATCCATCCATCCGCCCGGATCCCAGGAGCAGAGCCACTTACTGGGAGTAGAGGTGAGTGGGAAGGCCTTGAACACCTTGACAGCCAAACACCTCGATGGTCCTCTGTGAAAAAAAGAACATGTTTAAAATAATGCATATAGGCGTGGACACACACGCAACAAGCTTCCTCACCTCCGTGCCTGTCAGTAACTCCTCTCTGGATGTGGTGAAGAGGAGCTCATAGAGTCTGTACTTCTGAAACAGACTGCAGTTGGCAGAATACAGAGAGTCAGCTGCATCAGGTTCATTGCTAAAACACACTAGATTCCAGAGAAGAAGATGTAGATGTACCTACAAGCACAAAGCAAGTAAAAACAAACCACCCAGCTTTTACATTGAAATGCTGCTTTCATGGTAATTAGTCCACTGCTGTGGGCTTGTCTCCCTCAAAATCCTACCAGGTACAACAATATTTTGCCATTTTTAAAACTACCATGAAAATGTAGTATCACACGCTTTTTTTTGATAAATAGGATTGCTTGTCAGCATATGATACCAGCTTCTCCACAATGAACCGAGTCAACATGCACAACCCCCCCACGCTGTCAGTGCTAGCCTGACACAGATGTGTCTGTGTCTGCTCCTTGCACTGTATGCCACCTGTGTTAGAAAGGAAGGCCCACGTGAGATGAGGGAAAAGCCCAGGAAGCAGTGACCTGCTGGACCCCTTTCTCAGTCACAATTTAATAACAGTTGAAAGCTTATGGATTTGGCCATAAAGGGGGAACACATGGGACCGTGGCCTGTGTAATGTGTTAACCTTGTAGTTTTATGTACTTTTTAATGTGCTTTAACTAAAATGGGCCTGCATAGAGCAAAGGGATGGACGCTTCTTTCTACCAGCCCGTATAACCTTCACTAGACCAACGTGGAAGTGTGGGGGTTTAGAAGAATTTGTAAAATGTTTCAGGTGTCTCTGAGCAGGTCAGACGCACAGCAATACAAATCCACCACTAGATTCTACTTGTGAATATAAGAGCATGTCAAGGATTCGTCTGACCTGTTTCTGATGTAAGTTATGAGCTCCCTAGCTTCTTCTTCCTCCAGAAGTGGAGTCGTGTATTCCTCTGAAGTCCGGCACTGGCTGGCAGCACCTAGAGCCTTAGCAAACTCCATCAAGTTCTCAACTAAAGGCATCCGTTTCTCTGGAATATGATGGTAAAACACAGGTTACTGCTGGGACTCTACAACTGGGATTTTTAGTTACCTGCATTGTAGCAAGTAAATATACATTTGAATGTATTATACTTCTTATATTATAAATGAAATTAACACATTTTCTTCTAAAATCTGGCATTCTGGGATTGATGTGCACTGAAAGAGCTCATATCTGAAACTCACTGTTGTCACAGTGTCAACGGAACATTAGATGTGAGTGATACATTTTAACACCATGAAAAACTTTTAGGCTTTAGTTCGTTGTAGTTCCAGAGGTGTGTTTACTTAATAAGCTGGTGACTGTATGTGACTGTGTCCAAAATCACTCCGCTTTTACTCAAACTTCAGAAAGGAGGTTGACGTAACCTCTGTGATGTCACTTGTTCGCTGACTACGGTTTTCAAGCATTTTGGCCGTCGCCATCTAGTGAAGCGACATGAGGGGGGGGGGGAACAACCGAACACTGAATAACACCAAAAATGTTACAGCTGACTTCCATTAAATTAAATACACAAGTGTGCAAGTGTTAAAGTTCCAAGATGAAAATACATACATGTCCCAGGTGTGACATGGTAGAGACCTGTCAATCGCAAGGTAGGCCCGCCCTAAAGCATACCCGGCTTAAAAGTATTTTTAACTTTAAAAAGACTATAATTTACTATCATGCCATCATGCTATATCGATATAAGACTTAGAAGATAGAATCAGACTGAATAATGTACGTGGGAGACAAACTGACTACTTACATGGGGGCGTTGAAATAATAACTCAAACTACCTCCCCATCTGAATGAGTAAATACTGACTGTAATATATCTCATGAAGAAATACAAAAACCATTTAAATGTCACTTTTCAAAACCGGCGTTCTAAAAAGTGCCACAGTTACAAAAAACAATGATAATAATACAAATATATAGAGTATATAACAATATGTCAAGCAGCAGACTTTTGAACTGATGCTTTAAAAATAGTGTTTACTCTGGAAGAGAAGGACAGAAGTACCTTCTCCCTGTGACCTCTCCCCCCACCTCTTATGTTATCCAGCAGCCGTTGCATTACAGCCATGGAGAAAGAGGTCTGTTCAGGGGTGAAGTTGGTCTCTTTTGCCCACCAGAGACCACAGACATAGTAATCCAGCAGGGCAGCTTCCTTCATACATACGTGAGCGTTGCTGAAGCCCAGAATCTTGGTCATTTCCCTGCAAACAACAGAGAGCAGATGTGGGTAAATCAACTTCTGTACGGCAGTAATGCATGGAAAGAGAGTCACGTAAAAGCTGATAAAACATCTGGGCCATATCAACTGTTGAGGACACTTGGATCATGTCCTCAGGATGTTTTTCCATATTCTTTCTGGGTGAATTTGTGGGTTTTAAAAAGGCCAAGAAAATCTTGTCCACAAGAAAACTGGACATGCAATGGATATTTGAAATATATATTGAATTTCACAATAGGTGGAGATTCTGATTTAGGCAAACAAAATGAAAAATAATGAAAGGAGAAAGAATTTAAATTCATTTCAATTAATTTTATTTTGTATAGCTCAAAATCACAAATTACAAATTTGCCTCAGAGGGCTTTACAGTCATGCGACATCCTATGTCCCAAAACCCTTATATCGGCAGAAGAGGGATCCCACTCCCGGGATGGACAGATCAGAATGTAATCCTGGCTAGTATGGAAAATGTCTTTAAACACCATTCTGACATTTGTATTGGTGAATAAAAAACTTAAAGTTAAACTGAAATGATGTAAAAAGAAATCCCAAAACACATTGTATGGTTGATCAGAAACGACATGCCAGCTGAGCTGCAACGCAGTACGGACAGGCATGCTTTAAAAACATAAAAAAGGTAGAATGGCTGTAGTTCATAAATGTATAATGCATTCAGATTTATTTTAAAATAATTATAAAGTGAACTCTAGACCAAAGATATCTGCTAAGCACCGTTTCATGACTGCAGCTGTTTCTTTTCACAAAACACCATAACATAACATTAATATTACATAACATAACATTAGTGACATCCTGATATTATTGAAATCACTCTTTTTGAACATGTTTTCCACGTTTGTATAATACCACCAGGCTGCCATGTTTTGTGCTTCACTTAACCCTTAACATGTGAACAGGGAGCCCGGTAGGTAAACCTAACATGCGGACCTAACATGTATACCTAACATGCATACCTAACATGTATACCTAACATGCATACCTAACATGTATACCTAACATGTATACCTAACATGCATACCTAACATGCATACCTAACATGTATACCTAACATGCATACCTAACATGTATACCTAACATGCATACCTAACATGCATACCTAACATGTATACCTAACATGCATACCTAACATGTATACCTAACATGCATACCTAACATGTATACCTAACATGTATAGCTAACATGTATAGCTAACATGTATCGTACCTAACATGCAAACCTAACATGCAAACCTAACATGTTGACCTAACATGTGTACCTAACATGCAAACCTAACATGTACCTAACATGTGTACCTAACATGCAAACCTAACATGTACCTAACATGCATACCTAACATGTATACCTAACATGTATACCTAACATGTGTACCTAACATGCAAACCTAACATGCATACCTAACATGTACCTAACATGTATACCTAACATGCAAACCTGACATGTACCTAACATGTGTACCTAACATGCATACCTAACATGTATACCTAACATGTACCTAACATGTATAGCTAACATGTATACTACCTAACATGCAAACCTAACATGTGTACCTAACATGTGTACCTAACATGCAAACCTAACATGTACCTAACATGTGTACCTAACATGCAAACCTAACATGTACCTAACATGTGTACCTAACATGCAAACCTAACATGTACCTAACATGTGTACCTAACATGCAAACCTAACATGCAAACCTAACATGTACCTAACATGTGTACCTAACATGCAAACCTGACATGTACCTAACATGTGTACCTAACATGCAAACCTAACATGCAAACCTAACATGTACCTAACATGTGTACCTAACATGCAAACCTGACATGTACCTAACATGTGTACCTAACATGCAAACCTAACATGCATAACTAACATGCATACCTGACATGCGTACCTAACATGTATACCTAACATGCAAACTTAACATGCATACCTAACATGTGTACCTAACATGTATTTAGCTAGTGACGCCACGTGACTCTACTTACAACGGAAGTTGGTCTTCGGCTTTAGAGAGCAGCGCGCGGACTTGTTGCTGTGGCGCCGCTTCCCACTGGAGGACACCAGCTTCTTCATTCTTTCGAGACGTCAAGAAAAAAGCGCCTCTATTAATGTCACATATGCGAACACACGACACAAGAACGCTCCGTTATTACCTGCAGCTTGTTGTCCTTCACTGTAGGTGGCTCTTTATTTTCATGACGTGTCGCTCCCCCGGACATGTTGTCGTCGTTGCCATGGCTGCACCTTTCAAACAATTAAACCGCCGTCCTTGGAAGGTCCCGGATGTTGCCGAAACTTTCACGTTCTGTTTTTGCTCTTTTTCAATCAAGTTTGGTACATGCTATAACTATAACATGCTAAATGTACTCAATCGTTTTTAAATAAATCAGTTTTGTTCTTGAGGTCCATCAGTTCTTATTCAAGTGGGAAAACATCCACATTCCTGAGTTATTAAAAAGCTAAAGGAAAGGAATAACATGACACTCCAAACCTTATTCTCATGAATTGTCTATATATTACCTTCAAAGAAAAAAAAGAACGAGAATTAATAGAGCACGGATGAATGTAATAACGGAGCGTTGTTGTGTCGTTTGTAGGGCGGCACGGTGGTGTGGTGGTTATCACCGTCGCCTCACAGCAAGAAGGTCCTGGTTCCACTCCGCCCAGTGGCCTTTCTGTGTGGAGTCTGCATGTTCTCCCCGTGTCTGCGTGGGTTCTCTCCGGGTTCTCCGGCTTCCTCCCAGACATGCTCTGGGGATCAGGTTGATTGGGGACTCTAAATAGCCCGTAGGTGTGTGAATGGTCGTTTGTCTCTGTGTTAGTCCGATCCAGGTGAACCCGTCTATCGCCTGAAGTTGGCTGGGATAGACTCCAGCCCCCCCGCGACCTGCGGTTTGACGATGGATGGATGGATGGAATGAATGTTTATAAAGAAAGACTTGTTGGTATAGCCAACAACTCAATTCAACAGTATCAGAACGATGAAATCCAAAATATTTTCGTAATTCAGGAGTTATTAACCACAATGTAAAGTGATATAAATCAGCCACGTGGTGGGGCTATCACATCAAACATAAATAAAATACACATGTACATATAATATATGAAATATAGTCTGTTAAACAGCAGCCAAATGAACAAACAGCATCATGTTATGTATGTGGCTGTCCTTGAAATATTCATATGAGTGTGTTTATTCTGGTTTACGATTAGTTTAGACTAAAAGGAGCTGCTAAATCAGGCCGAATACTTTACGTACTTAAGTCTGAGATTGACAAATAGAGTTTTTGTACATATATGATGTGTGTATATATATATATTATTGATTATTATATTATATATTGATGTATGGGGTTCTTGGGATACTCGGTGCCTGTGGAGGTGAGGAGTGTCTAAGCTAAATTGGCAACATTGTTTCTTCGTAGATACATAATCAAATATCTACCAACAGAAAAAGACTCGTTACCACGTTACCAGCCGTCATAACCTGCAGCTGTTTGACCGTCAGAAGAAAACGTCCCTCCTCGGCCCCGAGTTCCGCCGGCACTTACTCCAACCGGCTCTCCCCGCCCCTCGCGACGCAACTTGCGGCACATCGTTACAGGCGAACCGAGCGCCGCCACTGTGTTCGCGGACCTGCGTCCGAGAGGGTCAGCTGAGAGGAGAGGACGCCAGCGCAGGTAACCCGGCCCTTTGCTGCTTCGTGTCGTCGTTTTATGTGCATGCTTTCATGTTAGTTCCTTTGGCGGCCCTGCAGACAGAGGGAGGAAACGGAGTTATTGACCGATCCAGATCGCAGCGAGTCCGCAAACGCACCGCGGAATAAATGATAAGCATAGACGGGTAAACCGTCACCGTGACACTTCCACATCCCGCCCGTCGTCACCATTAAGATAAACACACCGCTTTGAAATAATCTCGGTGGAAGCGGAACACGACCGCTCATCTCCCCCCAATGGTCCGTAGTCCCGCGCCAATCGGACGGAAGTGTCTTGTGGGCGCACAGATGGCAGATGAATCCTCCGCTTCTCTCTCCGATCAGCGCCGCCGTGCAGATGGAGTCGGTACCGGGAGGCCGTGGCCGCGCGTCAGCGCCGCTCCCGGAGCCGGCGACCCGGAGGAGGAGCGCCTGCCTGCCGGACCCCCTCCTGTGATCGGAGCGACCGGGAGCGTTTGGAGGGCAAAATAAATTGTGAACCTGATTCAAAAATCCTCTCGTGATGCCGGCGGGCGCCGGGTAGGAGGTGGGGGGTCCAGGCAGGGGCCTCCGGGGGGCCCAGAGCTTCACAGTTCAAGTCCAACTCCACTAACTCTAATGGTAAGTGGCTTTTTATTCCTAATGGTACCATGAGTAATGTTGGCCTCAGCTATGAGCCTACTGCTTATATTATAGCTACTGAGGACCTTTCACAGAAAATGAAGGTTTATCTAAAGTAAGGGGAAAGTTGACTGCCATTCTAGCACTAGATACAGGTTTAAAGATGTATTTATCCAGATTTAGGATTGTTCTATTTCAATGGAGTATTGTATATTGTATATGCATGTATTCATCTCTCTCGATGTACTTAAATATAAATAGTAATAAGATACAATGTCCATAAAGCTGAATCTAAATAATCGACAGGACTGTTATGCACACAAGTGCTGAGAAAACAGGGATTCATATGAATATTGACAAATGACCGAGCAAACAACAAAATGTGTCAAGTTCTGGGAATTGCTCACGATGGAAATAGTGCAAATAAATACATGCGCAATGCATGTGATTACCTAGAATACTAACACGTAAGATTGTTTGTATCCTTTCATCCACGCACTCTCATGCATTAGTGAAGGGAAGTACTAACAGCTCTGGGAAATACTAAGAGCAGCGGGGAACTTGCAAAATGTCACTGGAAAAGAGGAAAATGGACATTTCTTTGATTTTTTACTCCAGTCTGCTCATGAAACTGCTCGCTCAGGGGAGGAACCTGCTTGCAACGCTGAATATTAGGAGCCGAAGGTCTTCAAGCAGGGCCGGATAAACGTCTAACGGTGCCCAGAGGCAAAAGTGAGCCATGGGCCCCTGTCTCTCCAACCTTCTTCGTTAGTTAATAATGATTAACTTGTGGTAGTAGTAAGTCAGTTTTTGGCGTTAATTGTCATAATTGGGTAAAAACTTTGAGTGTTCTAACTTTAACTGATGCTTTGACCTGCATTAATGAGATGTGAATTTTGGAGTTCTGAACCTCTGATCAAGGAACACTACTGTTTCCCTCGGCCCTTCTGGGACGAGGAGTCATAAAAAGTCAACTGGCTCGAGTTTAAAAATGACAAAGAAGCAATACAGTTACAAAGTGAAATAACGTGTGAACAGTTTGATATTATTTAGCAAAATAGAGAAGTCCTCTGGTCCAAGTCTCATGTGACCATCAATTAGTTCACAGGAGGCTTCTGTCTGCTCCTTCTCCAGCTTGGACACACAAGGGCGTGTCCCTTGTGCTGATGTCGTATGCGATTGGCTGCACATTCAAGCCCAGCTCCTCCCTTGTGAATTCAATTCAATTCATTTTATTTTGTATAGCCCAAAATCCCAAATTACAAACTTTACAGTCTGTACACATGCAACATCCTCTGTCCCGAAACCCTCACATCGGCACAGCAAAAACTCCCCAAAACACAAAAACCCTTCCATGGGGAAAAAAGAAGAAGAAACCTTAGGGAGAACGTCAGAGGAGGAACCCTCTCCGGGATGCACAGACTACAATGGACGTCATGTGTACAGAATGAACAATGTAGAAGATGTACAATACATTCAATTCCTACACAGAAATGATTCAAATAATTGTGAGTAGTAAGCAGGTGTACGGCAGGACCACTGCAGGGACCACCACCATCACATAGAACCACCATCACATAGAACCACCATCACATAGAACCACCATCACATAGAACGACCATCAGATAGAACCACCATCACATAGAACCACCATCACATAGAACCACCATCACATAGAACCACCATCACATAGAACGACCATCAGATAGAACCACCATCACATGGAACCACCATCACATGGAACCACCATCACATAGAACCACCATCACATAGAACCACCATCAGATAGAACCACCATCACATAGAACCACCATCACATAGAACCACCATCACATAGAAGCACCATCACATTGAACCACCCTCAGATAGAACCACCATCGTATAGAACCACCCTCACATAGAACCGCGATCCTATAGAACCACCATCATATAGAACCACCATCAGATAGAACCACCATCACATAGAACCTCCATCGTATAGAACCACCACTGATAGAACCACCATCAGATAGAACCACCATCGTATAGAACCACCATCACATAGAACCACCATCGTATAGAACCACCATCCACAGAAGCCTGTGGGGGGGAAAGCACTTTAGGAAAGGGTAATGTTGGTTTATAATGACAGTAATAGTTATATGATTAATATTTATAATAATAATAATAATGATGATGATAGCAGCAGCAGCAGCAGCAGGTGTCAGCAGGGCCACGGTAGGAGGCAGGAACAGGGTCCAGATAGAACCGTGATCCATGGAAACCTGTGAGGCGAGAAAGCACAAATACTCTGAACAAAGTGATGTGCATTAACTATAAGCGTTATCAACGGGGAAAGTTTTAAGCTTTATCTTAAAAGAGTCGACCGAATCTGCCCTGAAAGTGGAACCTGGTTCCACAAAAGAGGAGCTTGAAAACGGAAGGCTCTGGCCCCCAGCCTACTTTTTAAGACTCTAGGAACAACACGTAAACCAGCATCTATGGAGCGCAGCTGCCTTGTAGGGCAATAAGGTGTTACAAGCTCTTTAAGATACAACGGTGCCTCACCAGCAAGTGCCTTGTAGGTGAGGAGAAGTTAATACAGGAGTGATATGATCCCTTTATCCTGGTCGAAGAGAACTCCAAGGTTCTTGACGGTGCTGCTGGATACCAGATACCATAAGAGCAAGTGCCTTGTAGGTGAGTCAAAGTACCTTAAATTATACTGTTGATTCAACAGGGAGCCAGTGCACTGAATCCTGACTGAAAATCCTAACTATTCTTATGTAAAAAGTCAATGATTTGGGATATAAACAACAAGAACAAAATACAATAGATGAATGCGTCAGATTCCAACCGATCAAATATATTTACAAGAAAATCTGAGTTTGGTCCTGTAACTTGTATCTATAGTCTTTGGATCCGTTCTAAGCTGGTCAGTAGCTTTAAAGCTCTATAAAAAAATAAAAACGCGAGCATGTTTCTGCACCAGCAAGGACTTAACAAAAGAAGGCTAAATCTTGGCTCGTGACAACGCTCATGGTTCGGTCATCTGAGATAAGTGTAGCGCAGTGGGTACAGATCTCTGCTGCTGCTGCGTGTGCACGCCTGTTTGTGTCTTTCTTCAAACATTTTTACGGGATCTGCAGAAGATTTATTCAGTCATGCTCTGTCTAATAGATGGGTTGCTCAGTGGAGCGTGGTAAAAGAGCATCCTGTCCCGGAGAGAGAGAGAGAGAGAGAGAGAGAGAGAGAGAAGGAGATGAGAGGAGAAAGACATGACAGTGTCTCTAAAATACAAGGCCCTGGAACACAAAGCAAAAGCGAGTTGACGCTGTCGTGAAGACGGAGCCAAGTTAGCTCCTGATTCCTGCCTCCACAGGAATCTTCAGCTTGAATTATGCACACGCAGGAGTGTGTCCCTGCAAAAGAAACGAGAAGGCCTGACTCTCGTTTGAAAGCACGCTCTGCCTTTTAACACAGAGGGAATGCTAGACCTGTCCGGGAGATGCACATCATTTACTGTCTGTGAGTCACTTTCTCTCGACCTCCACACTTCCTCCGCAGCCAAGTCATCTGCGCTAACACAATAGTGATGCAAGTGCATGGATTTGTCGTTATACGAGGTTGGTTTGTTGGTAGTGTTGTGTTTTAATTATTCTTTGGGTAGACTTAAAGAGGATCGGGAGACGCAAAGGTTACAATAAAACAGATTTAATAAAACATAGTTACACGACACAGTATATTTCTCGTAAGCCTCAGCAGTCCACGGGCCATTAACAGCTGGTCTGCCAACAGTTGCTGTCGACGCTTAAGCTTGTGAGCCTCAAACAAAGGATATATACTGATATACTTTTTTCCATCACAGCGCGTCTTATTGGTTAAAAAGTTTAAAACAAATATGGAAGCAACTTCCAAGGTTAGGTTAGCAAGGTTAATGTTAGTGCAGAGCCGTCTTCCACGCCACCAGCTGTGACGTCATCGCTCTGTCCTCTTGTAGTTCTAATGCTGTAGCTTCCTGTAGGAGGTGTGGTTTTGTACAACTTGCACCTGGTACAGCCTCCATTTTGCATTCCATTTTGTTTAGATCCATAAATGTTCTAGTGAGGTAATAAAAATTACTTGGTTATGAATACACTCTCTTGTTTGATAACAAAGTGTTTGTTTATAATAAATGAATGAACCTGTAAATAAGCATCTTTAATATCAAGTGTTTTATAATAATGTATGCATTTCTACAGCACATAAAATATTTCAATAAAAAGTATTTATAGTACATTTCTACAGTAGTCTCTTAGATTTGACATCACCCAAAAGGCACAACATTTTTCTTTAGAGGAGTCAATTAATGAGAGGATTGATTTTGTCAATCTGCATGGGACAGTCCAGAGAGGGGCAGTATGTGGACACATCCCCTGGCAAGTGAGTCAAAACTATTTCAATTCAGATTAATTCCAAATAGGCACAGATGATCCACGGCAGCTCTTTGCCTCTGTTGGCCGTTTTTTTCCCTCATGTAAATGTATGATGGCAGATGCTCAATGTTTTGTGGCAGTGACGGTGGCGATATGCATGAGTGACGCGGTGTTTGTCCGCTGTAATGCAACTGGACAGTTTGATGCTCTTCTTCGTGGATGTGAAGGTCCAAGAGGTTTGAGCAACGACGGTTCTCGTCATCACATTATGGAGGCGGTGTGGGGTGACAAATGATGAGTATTTAGTACCTCTTGTACGGCACAGTTTTATTGCACGGCAGCATGACCTAAGAACGATTTTCGGTTTGGTTTACTTCAGGAGATTAGTTAACAAGCTCACCCCTTGTGTCCACATACGCTGCATTGGTTTAAAGAAACAGTCCTCACTTCAGATAACTCTGCAAATGCCTAGTGTAGGCATGGTGAAATGTTTGCATAATGACCCCAAAACACAACCAGCAGGGGTATTTTATTGCAGACATATTTCCAGCTTTTATACTAACGTATATATATATATATATATATATATATATATATATATATATATATATATATATATATATATATATATATTAAATGTGTTACAGCAGCCATATTGGTCCTCTGACTCATATCAGCATATGTCTTGATTGATAGATGCTTTACTCGGAGTAAGACTCAATTCCCTATCAAATTGAAATATTGAAATATTCAGATTAATAGCGGGATATAAGTGTATGTAAACACAGCCATTGTTTTAGATCTGAAGAACCTGGCTTCATTGAATGTGAAGATTCATTAAAAGGACAAGTGCAAATACAAGCCTGATATGAAAGCAAAAAAAGCACATGTGTATTCATAGAGATGAGTTTGCCTTTGGAATCAAGCAAGAGGATTGAGTAGAGGTAAAATGCATTTTTAATGCAAGGAATACATCATTTCAGGGTCTGAAGGAAGTCAGTTAACCGGGGGAAATGGAAAAGGGAAACATATAGCTTCCCAAATGCAGTCTGATAATGCACCTTTTGTTAATTTGATTTCACATTTCAGGAGACACTGCAACTCCAGGTTTTACATGTTTAATGATGAGCACCGAGTTATTTTAGGACCGTGATGTCATTGCAGTTTGGCAACACTGTTACAGGAAGCAGCACGACTTCTCCTTAGATCTCCAGCAAGCTGAGAGGGTTTCCTGCAAAAATGCATTGAATACAATTATAATGATATATATTTACTTTACACTGCACTATCTGGGGGACATGGATCATGTTAGTATTAACATAAAACCATGATTGTCTTTTTTTAATCTTACAATAAAATGTTGTACTCATAACAGCATGCTGGCATTAGTTAGAAGTTAGTTAGTTAAAAACTGGAGTCGAGGAGCAACATGCTCAGCCATTTAAATAGGTGGCGCAGGGCCTGCATGGGGCCACTCGACGTGGACAACCGCTCAATATTGTTCTGTGTCTAAATTAGACCAGAGGATTTATATTCATTTTTTTGGGACTCTAGTCAGGAATGTTAGCGTAGTTCTCTACACTATCCAACACTTTTTAATGTCACCATTAACATTTAGAATTTAAAAGACAAAGGAAATGTGAAAGCAGCCGCGTGAGAGCATGACGCTTTCTTGAGTTTTGCGTTCTTTGAAAGAGTCACATTGACGGCAATCCGCCAGCGTTCCTGTCATTTGGGAACTCAAGATGCTTTTTTTTTGCAGAGATCATCATGTGGTGATTAAAAATACCAATGCAAAATAGCACTATCTCCATTGGCTTTGGTGTTAATGAGCTTAAAAGACTGTTGCAATGTGTGGTGTCCATGTTGTCAGGCTTTTGGGTTCTTCCAAACGATCCCAGTCAAATATGAAGTGAACGCAGGATTGTCGGTGGCTGAAATAGTTTAAATTTGTTTATAGAATAAACAAACGGGACACAACACGTTAAATAGTGAACGGAGGGTGTAATTTTAACTTACATACCTAATGCTAGATGTTCCTGACTCCAGCCCTGTAATTAACGGCATGAGGCTGATATTGATCTAAACGTCTGAGAAAGTGTAGATATTTCCCTTCTTCTTTAATCCAAATAATGTAGGAGGATAGAAGCACCTACACACAGTGCCGATTGGCTCCGATCTGCACAGGACCATCTGGACCGATAACTTTTGGCTGTTCAAAACACACTGCCTTTTTTTCCCAGTTGAACGAGGGCGAACCCTTCTGCATGTTCTCTTTTTCATTATTCATTCCTGTGGGTCATACTATTCTCTTCCATTTGCACTCATGCAGGATTTGAAGAGAGTGCTGTCCTTTCCACCGTACCCCGGGGACTACCTGCATCCAGTGGTCTACGCCTGCACGGCAGTCATGCTGCTCTGTCTGCTCGTCTCCATCATGACCTACGTAGTCCATCACAGGTGAGAGGAACATTGATTGAAAGATGTTGTTGCATATTTCAAGTCAATCACATTGGCAATTGCACGTAGAGAGAGAAAAAAAGAAAAAGAGAGAGAGAGAGAGAGAGAGAGAGAGAGAGAGAGAGAGAGGGAGGGAGGGACGGAGAAAGAGACAGAAAGACCGGGAGCGAGAGGTAGTCCCAGAGTAGCAGATGATCCGGCACGAAAGAGCCAGATTGATCCGAGAATGAGGACCAGGGGGATGAACAAGGGAGAGAACGAGTAGACAAGCCAGTTTGGATTGAAATGCCTCAGCGAATGTAGCTGAGGTTGTTCTGGAGGAGGTGGCACATTAGTAAAACACGGCTGATGGCACTGTTGTGACACTGTTTTCAGTCAATACGTGCCTTATTCTCTCATGTTTTAGTCTCTTAAGTGCTGATGGGTATAACATTTTTCAAATCAGTCCAGTACTGAGGGAGAACTTCACTTCTTTAGTGTCACATCCACTTTGAGGAAACCCCTCAATATTCAGCTGTGACGTTGAACATCTAGATAACACTAAGCTACGCTGGCTGGTGACAACACCACCCGTCATTGCTCAAACTCTCACTCACGTTTCCACCGCTGTCTCCTGGCAACATGTCACATGACACAATAACAAACACAGGTACACAAAGGTTTTACTCTGAAGGGTCCTTTCCCCATGCTAAACAGACAGGGAAAGGCACTCTTAATGGACGCATATTGACGCTGAGGAGTTGCCCCGATTACTTCCCCATTGCTGTTCATGGTGAAAGTGAAAATAAATTGTTCACATATGACTTGAGGTTTGGGTTCTGCTATGGACGGATTAACATTTAAACAAGATACGCAACCATAAATAAATGAGATTCGGCTTTTTTTTTCTTCTTCAAATGACAGCTTTAATTATGTCCAATTGCCACTCTAACCACCCCATGTGATCTGTCCTGATACTGTGAATGGTGACATCTTTTCTAACTCTGAACTCATTGTTTGCAGTGTGATCCGCATCAGCAGGAATGGCTGGCACACGCTTCTTAACTTCCTTTTCCACACGGGGCTGACATTTGGAGTTTTTGCCGGGGGCATCAATCAGATCAACTTACCTTTTGTTTGTCAAATCGTAAGTTGGGGTTTCCCTACTATCTCAGCATAATGTTATCCCATAGAACTTAACCCGTTGGTTGCCAATGTGCCCCTTCTGGACACAGAAGGGGGTTGACCCGATCATTTTACATATATATATTAGTATTTTGTTAATTTCCTGTCATATTGTCCAGGAAACAGTTCTATAATCACAAGCTGATTTTGGATAACAGATTGATATTGCGTTTAATATTCTTTGTTTTCCACTTTATCTGGGCCAGGTTGGCATTGTGCTCCACTATGCTTCTTTGTCTACCATGCTGTGGCTGACGTTTACTGCTAGAAACATCTTTAAAGATGTGTTGAAAGACCCGCTACGGACTCAGAAAAGGGATGGGACGGGTCGGACTCGCAGAAAACCTACAGTCCTCAGGTAACTGTATGCTACAGTGAATTCATCTGAAATGAATAAACTAGAATGCATATTAAGAATTATAACAGCGTGGCCTTGACACTCTTTTTTACCAGATGTTACTAAATCACATTTCGCGTTTTCTAGACTTATTATTGGTAAATTGATGACTCTTCCTACTAAATCCCCAACTTTGTTAATAGATTCAGCTTGATTTTCAGAAGGGGGCCCCACCTGGAGGGCAATCTCAAGATACAGAAGGCGGGTCTAAGAAGCACTTTAGCCAATTGCTGATTAAATAAAAAAATATGTCACATATAATTCAGCCAATCAGCATCCTTAAATAGAAGCCTGGGGCATTTTCCACCAGTCCTCACTGCTCCCATTTTTTGGAATATGTTTTTTAAAAAAATCATAAAATTTAGCTCAAACTGTTTATTGCTTTATTGCTTAAAGCTCAGCGCTTTAATCAGAATACGTTTAGCCCAGTTTAGCGGTTGGAGGTTCAGTGTCTAACAGAAAGATAATGACTCTCCTGCCTCTCGGCCCGACCTGTTACCCAGGCTGTACCACAAACTTCGGAACCTTCTTTTTTCAGATTTTATCTTGTGAGTGATGGAATCCCTCTCCTAATTGTTGGAGTTACAGCAGCATTTGGTATGGATAACTATGGCAGCAGGGATGACGCATTGTAGTAAGTAGAAAATCAAATGATATGTATGTTTTTAATCATTCCTTAGTAAATAGGATTGATGTTTATGTCTCTTTGTGTCTTTTCTCAGTTGCTGGATGGCATGGGAACCAAGTTTGGGAGGTTTCTATGGCCCCATGTGTCTTTTGGTCTTAGTCATGTCTGTGTACTTCCTGTGCACGTACATCCAGCTGAAACGCCACCCACAGAAGAAGTATGAGCTGCGAATTCTAAGTGAAGAGCAGCAGCAGTTATCGTCCAACGAGTCAAACCATCACTGCCAAACTGACACTGGGGGAGTTTCTGGCTCCGCTGGCGACTGTCAGCCATTTGCAACAGGCGTGTCGGTGCTGGCCAATGAGCACTCATTTAAATCTCAGCTCCGGGCCACAGCCTTCACCCTCTTCCTGTTCCTGTCTACCTGGGCTTTGGGAGCATTGGCGGTGTCACTGGGACATTTCCTGGATATGATATTCAGCTGCCTGTATGGGGCTTTTTGTGTCACTCTGGGGCTCTTCCTTCTCATCCAGCACTGTGCCAAACGTGATGACGTATGGCACCGTTGGTGGGCTTGTTGCCCGTCCAAGTCCGAGGACGGGGATCGGGACGGGAACGAACAGAGCCCAAGGCAGGAGCTCCATCAGCCACATTGCCACCTGATTTCACCGTGCTTCGGCAAGCAGCCTCTGCTCGCCTCTCACCTCGTTCAGAGTTCCTGCCAGAAAATGACGCCTCCCTCCCAGAGCCCTATTCCCAATCACGCGGGTCCATGCTGCGTGGCCGTAATGAGTCCTGTCACCGCGGCCCCCATGTCACCTCTCGCTGAGCCACTGCCTTCACCGTGTCAGCAGACGCTTTCCGACGAGCTCCCGCGTCCCGCTCTTCCTCTACAGGCCTGCCTTAATGACAGATCAAAGTCGCGCTCCTTTAACCGCCCACGTCCATGTCTCCAGGACTACCGCTCACACATGACTTCCACCAGTATGGACGGGAGTGGCTACAGCTCGCACCTCGACAGCCCACATGCAGCGCACCACCTCGAAGGCTCACCACTAGCTTCCAACTGCCCACACCCAGACCTCCAGCTTCCCTGCCTGAGCCCTTACTTGGAAAAGCAGCTGGCTTCCTGCCACAGCTTGCAACACCAGGACTCCTGCCATAGCGTGCAAGACTCGATAGCTTCAGGTCACGGCCGGACACACAACATGCACGACAGCATTACTTCCTGTCATAGCCTCCTCCTGCCTTCTGGGGGCAACACCTGCCAGTGGCACATGTACAGCTCAGCTGATCACTCCTCCACTACGAGCTGCTATGAGAAACCCGACCCCTTTGCCTTGCAGTACAAGCAAGACCCCGAAACATACAGCTGCGCGTCAAAGCCAATTGATGAAGAGAAGGATCGTCTATGTGTAGAGGTGGAGCAGAAAGGTTTCCCTAGAAATACTCTGCCTCGGCAGCATGGCACCATCAGCAGGCGAGGTACAATCGGCCGAAACCGGAGCCTGCAGGAAGACGGCCTCTTCGGTTCAGACGCCACTGGCAACATTCGGACTGGTCCTTGGAAGAATGAAACCACTGTATAGTTTTCTTACACTTGTACCTTGCACCTTAATTTACCACACCTTCCAGCAGCCTTGCAGTCAAATTACTCCTAGTGTTTGGGTCTCAATGAATTCAGCTTTGCCCCTTGAATCAGACGTTGAGTTTTCAACGAGGCTACGTATCCTAATGATATTTCTAACTCTCCTCATGACAAAGTTATCTATAAGTGTTTCGCCAATCCATTTTTGCAGGGAATATTCAAGCCCAAGAGATGTTCAATTGGTGTTTGATGAATATTCTGCTCTAGGTAGTTTTTAATTTAAAGTTGCAATCAGTAATATATGGCCTTCGAGGTGCACACTGGACAGTAGTTGGCGGTGACAGTCAGACGGCCATTAGTTCAATCTAAATAGATTCAAAGATGTATAGATCCCTAAAACTTAAAATGTATGACAGTTGATTGCGGGTCATAATTATTGTCATACAGTAATCGTTACTATGTTGTGAGAGCAGCTATGCTGACAACGATTTCAATAATTGGTTAATCTGCTAATTATTTCTTTGATTATTGCGTTATTATTGGGTAAAAAAAGAAAAAAAGCTATTACTTCCAGCGAGTTATCTGGAATGAAAACTTTATATTTCATCTTCATGTACAATGCACTCAAAAATGCATTTTTAGGAATGCGAAAGACAAAGGTGACTCATCTTATGTTGCTCATCAAATTAGCCACAAAAACAAAGTTAGCTTAACAAAATAAACAAACTTTTGACACTCAAGGCAAGGCAAGGCAATTTTATTTGTATAGCGCTTTTCATACACAAGGCAGACTCAAAGTGCTTCACATCATAACATTTCATACAATAAAGTGAAATAAAATGCAGTAATTAAAAGACAGTTTGGTGAATACTTCCGGATAAAATGTTTTTCCGCTCACAGTCTATACTTATATAATAATATTTTATTTATATAAATTTGTTCTTCATTCATAAAAAAACTAAACCAAAATACGTAAATATTCTTTACAGATTTGAAGCACTCACAAGCTCATAAACCAGCAGGTGGAAAAATCAGGAGCTCCCGTGTTCACTAAGGATTTGGTGAAAGCGCTGCGCCTAAAGCATTATGGGTAGTGAATATTGGGTCTGTTTATTAAACTTGGCAGTCACAGAGGGAACCCTAACGCCTCAACATTTGAAAACCTTTAGTGATATATAACGCCATGTATAAGCCAGAAGCATTAGAATATCACTGATTGCACCTTTAAATACTTTTGGATTGATTGTTTTCAAAAAGTTCTATATTGGTTAAAGTTATTATGTTTGTAATGATGTTGCTAGACATGATATCATTTTAAATGTGGGTGGTTACACGTGTGAAAACACTTTTGAGTTTGTGTGAGCATGTGTATGTTTTTTATGTGGAACAGTGCATGAGTAAACATCCAGATGTGGTGTGGTTTTGTGCTATATGTGTTTATTATTATGGAGTCACCCTTGCAGAAATTTAAATTGATGATCTGTCTTGATAAAGATTATTCCATTAAATCTACAAAGATTGTTCTATGGAGACACCTTGTCAACGCTGCCAAATGGAGTCAATAGACTCTCTTCTGACAAATATTGCACTCGTATGTACTATAGTAACTCATCTGGTGAGATAATCATTTCAAAAGAACAACCCTACCAATGTGCTCCAAAGCACAAACTTTGTATAGTGCCAAAAAGATGTGCCAGCTTTCACTGTGATGAGATACTACACAAAGCTCCTTCTCAATATGTTTTGAGAGAGTATATATAGTTTGTAGCATCATACAAACTACAACTCAGGTTTTACAAGATCATCAGCGGCCATTTTCAAGTGGTTCCAGAAACATCCACCTGTTATCTCCATAGAGCACGTTTCATAAGCTTTACTTTGTGTTTCATGCAACCAGCTTGAAAAACTCATCGATTACCAGATGAGCTTTCTTCGGGTAATGATGGTTTTCAGTCAGGTCCAGTATGCCCTTCAATCTGTCACACTCAATCACAATCAAAATCTTACACTTTATTAGCCTAGCTTAGCATAAAGTTTAAAGAATGTTAAGTATACGCAAAAAGTGGTTCTTCAAATATCTTTACCACCACAGCAAGACAAATTACCCCAAAAGTAGTCAATTCCTGACATAGTTATTATCGCCAACTGGTGATATTTTTGGTATATTTTTTCCCAAAAAAGTTTAGATGGAGGTTCATATATATGTGTGAAAAGTAAAATATAATTAAGATACATTAGAATTTTAAAAGGTTTCTCTTTTTTAACCCCCCCTCCCCCCTTCCTGTTCCTGATTGACTTCTTGTTCGCCTTGCTTTTGCTTGTTGGTTTGGACCGGAGGGATATTGGATAGGTTAGGGTTAGATCCAGCTTAATCCTGGTTCAGCATGCTAGGATCAGTTGAAAAAGGCTTTTTGCTGTCAACCCAACTATCTAATTTATTTATTTAATTTTTCTTTAAGAAACAACTCTCTTGTTTGGTATTTAGCAGCACATTTGGAACGAATGAAAGTGTTGTGTGTTTCATTCTATTTTTAGGACCATAATCAGGCGTTCCTACTGGAGCTAGCGTTGATTTAAAAAAGGAATGATTTATATCACCCTGTTATTCATTCTAGGTTAAACACAGATGTTCACCTATACGTTGGCATAGCCCTTTTGATGTAGGTGCGGTTGCTAAGCGACACCAACCTTCAGCCTCACATTGATGACTATACACATACATACACGAAGTGTTGTCGTGTCCCGTTCCCGGGCCCTCGAGGCAGGGCTCCCCATTGGTGTCAAAAGGATGGAATCCAAACAAGAAACCATTTAAATGTGGTTTTCTTTTTCTTTTTTTCCTTACCACTTCTATTGTGGATTTCTCAACCGGGTAAAAGAACAAATTGACACCTTGGGACTACCAATATGAGCACTATGTGTTGCCTGCACCAGAAATAAATATTTACTGTGATACATTGTGTACGTTGTTGTCTTCCTAACATTTTTTATTCTCCAAGAAGTTTGGTAGCCTTACAAACTGTCAGTGAGCACATGTTTGACTACATTAGGAAGTAAAAATGTGGCTTTTTAGAAGATCAAATTACAAAAAATACATTTAAAAAAAGTAAAATATCTGAATCATTAAAAAATGTAAATACCTCTTTTGTGGCAAAAGCTACATGTCAAAGAGGGCTTGTGTGGGGAACAAGGGGGCTTTTGACCTATGAATAATTATTGTACTGTCATGATAATAGATACTTAATTATATACATCGCTCAACACATATACAGTAAGTAATTATGTCGCCATTTTCATACAAAACTCAATATAATACGTCAAGATATCCACAGCTGTGAGCCTGAACCATTAGCAACATTTTTCTTTTCTTCTCTGAAAAGCCTTCGCTTGCTTTGCGCTGTAGGCAATTCTTGCTAGAACAGCAACTTCCTGTAGGACATTCAGTCCAAGTGCCTGGCTCAGTCAGTGTCTGAAGGCTGTCCCATTCTCATTACACTGACGCTAATGGTACGGAGAGCTCATACCACATTGGACATAGCCTCCCTCCTGGGTCTTTTGCCGGTTCGCCAACCTCCATGGAAATTTGTCCGGCAACTGGCTGGCTGTTTGCATCGCAAGTAAGTGAAGTTCACCGGACCACCGTGCGCCAGGCAGATTACATTGTGTGTACAGTGTGATTAAATACAACATTTTGGTTGCTGTTATAGCAACCCTTTGACCGGATTCTCTCCCAATTACAAGCACTTGTCCCTCTTGACACATTTCCCAAGTGTCACGCATGTGTTTTTTGACATCGTCCAAGTAGGTGGCAGCATATGCAGCATGTGGATGCAGCACCCAGTCCATTAGGGGTTAGAAAGTGGGCGGGGAACCAAAAAAACCCAGAGGGAAGCATGGTAAATTGGTATAAACTGAGTGGAAAAAGCAGCAGCAGAAAACTGCCAGTAGCCTTTGCTTAAATCCTGTGTTTCCAAGAAACGTGCGGCTCCTAATTGGTTGAGGAGTTCTGTGACCCAGGGCATTGGGTACGCAATAAATCGTGACACAATATTCACCCAGTGATAGTCCACATGGAACCGTATAGATCAGAGGTCTTCAACGTTTTTCAAGCCAAGGTCCCCCAAACTGATGGCGAGGTGGAGCAAGGACCCCCTATTCTACGGAGTTTGGTCCGCCGCACAAAGGCGATCTGATTGACCCTAATTAATTAAACCTGATTAATTAATTAAAATGTGGGTATGACAGTGCTGCGTCAGGGCACACCATTTGACCATGAATTCGTATGATCACCAGACTGACCAGTGGAAGATTCTCTGAGAGTAACTCTGGATTCCATACGAGGCTCCACTGGTACCCCCTCACTGTCTCCAATTGTTGGACAACCTTGCGTCACCGATGGGAACCGCACACACCCCGGATGTCCCTGTCTGTTGGGAACCAACCTCAGCTCACTGCCACACTAGCTCATGAAACCCCGTCCAATATATTACCAAGATGAGGTATTACGTGAGGTGAAAACTACCGTAACATTTACTCTATGCTTTTTACCCCCATATCTAACCTTTGTTGACACCTGGGCGACTGTGGGTGAGTGGGAAGCACGGTCGTCCTCTAATCAGAGGGTTGTCGGTTCGATCCCAGGCTCTGCGAACCTGCATGTCGATGTGTCCTTGGGCAAGACACTTAACCCAACATTGCTCCTGTAGCTGTGACTACAATGTGTGAATGTTAGTTACTTTGGAAGAGGACCCGGGCCGGCGTCTGGGTTGGTATGTCTGCACTAGTGGACCACGTTGTGCGTCCCTGGTCAGGTGACAATGTTGTGGTGATTGAGCTGATTACCTATTCATGGACACAGACTACACACCTGTTATTTTTACAGTTGATATACTTTTTATTTTCATTTGTTGGGTTCATTTGTCGAGTCCCACTCGATAAATGCTCACTCCTGCACTCTTCTGACGTGCCTCTGAGCGCCTGGTGAAGTCCCGCCCTGCAAGTCCTGCTCACCGATAACAGGGAGATCTGTCCGGCGCCGGTACGGCTGTGCTCTTTAAATACTTACCGACACTGTTCCCTGAATTACTCCACCCCTCCCTCCTCTGCAGCTGAGGTAACCTCAACCCGCCACCACATTTATGTTCACTCTTTTTAAAATACCAGACTGCAGCTATTTGTTTTAATTTCAGATAATTATTTCCACAAATATGGAGAGGACTGAAGGCCTGCAAAGTTCTGTGATGAATGGACCTTCTGATATCGTAATCACAGTTAAAAATGGCAATATAATATCAAGACTTGCCTTTGTTCCTGTTCTAAAATGTTATTTAAACATTCGAGTACAGGGAGTAACCCAAATATTCATCAAAAATGATAAGGGAGAGGCTGCCAGAACACATTTCTGGACTTAAAGACTTAAGCTTGGAGGAAATCTCAGCAGCCGACTACAAACAGGTCTAAGGTCTGAAGCTTAGGTGTGGGTGCGCCGAGATGTTAAAGTGGGTGTGGCAAACCTCTAAGCAGTAGACACCTCTCCACCAAAAAAGAGGCCAGAGTCCGCTTGGGCAACAGTTCTCTGAATAAAGGTGTCGCTCAGAGCGCGGCTGTGCTGTCTTAAGTTAGCCATTGCATTTGCGTCCAAGCTTCTCTGATGGTAGCGCTGCGTTTAGAGGTTGCCTTCATACATCCCATCCCCCACACAGAGCTCTTCTCCAAAGCCACAGGCCACTGGCCCGAACCACTCCAGCAGCAGAGTCAGAAAAATTATGCAGACGTCCCTGATGTGAACATGACCTATTTTGAAGTCCTACAGAAGCCCGCAGACCTGGCTGTCTTCCTGCTACGTTGGTCTATTGGCCGCACCTGTCTACCAGACAAGCTACACACACACACGTATATATATATATATATATATATATATATATATATATATATATACATGTTTGTGTGTGCATGTATTTAAAAATTAAAGACCCATGCTTTTCATTTAGACATACATAGGAATATCCCAAATGTACAGCTCAAAGGACCAGTTTTTCTGCTGCACTGCCTCTACAACCAACATTATAGCCCCCCTCATTATTTAGTTAGATATTTATAACAACGACATCCTTTAAATTTAGGCGGTCATGTTGCATCATTTATGTTCAATCCTGTTCTTTATTTCTAATCTAATTTTATATTCATTAAATTGATGACTTTCAGTCAGCAACATTTTTCATCTAGGAAGCAATACAAATAATAACTAAATAATAAATATCAAGCTTGTGTATGACGCATGATAATGTAGCGTAAGCACATTCAGTCATCCGCGTTAACACAAATCACATCACAACTCAACAATACAGTTGGTATTCCGTCCTCGTGTTACATATATTTGATTTTTGGTTCATCTCATTGAATGCTGACAAGATATTTTTTACATTTTTGCTGATGAGTTGATAACTATTTTAAACTATTTCATCACCTGACAAGCCTTCATGTGTATACTTTCTGTTCAGCTGCACAGTATGTAAAGCTGAAATATTTAAAATATCCTATTGTTCCTCATACTTCCTGTTGCTCTATTGATATTTACATTTTGCTATGATCATAAGGACATCTTAAAGGGCCAATGTCTCGCATTTCGAGAGGGTCCTATGGAATATAAAATCATGTTTTCATTAGCGTACAATCACCTCAGACTAACTATCATTGTGTTTTTAATAGCTAATAATGAGCTCTTCATATCTACATAGGGAATGGGCACAGACAAACAGTGCACTAGCTCTAAGAGGTTGATTTTTTTGACACATATACTGATCTGATTGAGTACACAGAGCTTCCCGCACATATGCAAACAGCTTTGCAACAATAAGGGCCACGTGTAATTTCCTGTTGATATGAAATAATGTTTTTGGCATAATAACAGCTCATATTCATACCGTGCCGATTAGAGTGTAGCTTTGGGGAAACGTTTACACATCCAATTTCAGACAGGATAATGAGCAGATTCTAATTCAAGATTTTTACATCAGTTTTCTGTAATTGAGATAATGACAAACTTAAGTTTTCCATCACCAAGGGTTTTCAAATCAATATAATTGCAGAGCTTGTATAAATGAAATGTTCAGTGGTCGGTTTATTTGCATAGCTAAATCCAATATATTCTATTCCAACATTCCTCCAATAAACTCACCCAAATACAGAATCTAATTTTCAGTTTTTGTTCCAGCTGTGAAAGGCGTTTACTGTCTGCATCGGACTGCGTTAGTTGGGAGCTTGTAAACTCAATGTGCGGCTGATAAAGGACATAAATGAATTATTTAGTATGCAAACAAGAACACACTTTGCATTGTTTAAGCCAACATTAAACATTTGATTTGGGCATGAAGCGGAAGATTATGCAGCACATTGGAATTCAGGTAGCAGAGCCGATGCCGTGGTGTCCTGTCCTGCCCTCATGTGGTCCTTTTCAGCATTGGCCCATAAGATATGCTGCCAAAAAGAGCTTCACCCCCCGCTACATAAAGCACAGAAGCATTATGTCTGTTTAGCACTCACACGTATGCCATTACCTCCGACAAGAAAAACGAAAAGCCAGCACTATTTTTAAACTAGGTATGTACATTTATTAGAGGAGACTGAACCATAAAGTTGAACAAAAAGAATACAGTACACATTGTCGACCTGCCGAAGGACATTCGAGGCACTTTGCATGAGAGATTCGGTAAAGTTGTGAACAACCTGCTGGACAGGAACAACTTTAACGTACACAAGGAAGCTAAAATCCAGTTTGTGGAGCAACATCATCCGGAGGAGAGAAGCAGCTGTTTCGTTGTAGTAAACAGTTTTATCACTGCTCACTTTTCCATTCGGGGTCACAACTGAGAAAATGAGCCAATCTAGTAGTGTGTCCCCTTAATACAAGCCATGAAGTATTCTATATTTATCAGTATTCTGATGAAGGAAAGAAGGTGGATGATCCATTTGGCTGTGTTCGTCTCCAGCTGTCTTTCAAAAGGGGGGAGCTACAAAACGTTGCATTGAATGTATGTACTGAGCACTGAATCGTGTCAATTATCTTATTTCGTATCCTAAAATTCTAAATATCTATGCAACATATTACATACATATGTTTAATTGAAACTTAAAGAATGAAACAATCGGGAAAACAAATGAATACCCCAGAAAAACTGATACTTTACATCTTGCTATTTTACTTACGTACCAGAATGAGAAGACAGAAATACAGACCATTTAATTGTTTTAGATCATTTCAATTCTTCTAATAAAAATGTTAACAGCGCTTCATTGAGTTGGAATGTTTCCACATCTGAAAGCGGACAAAGCAAGAGGTGATATCTGGAAAACAAGATTATGACCAAGGAAGTTAGCTTTCGGCAGCAGGCTAGACAGCTTTCATTAAAATAATCGCTTTACAGTGAGATGAGCAAATGGATATCAACGTCGTGACTGTGTTACATATAGAGCTCTTGTCATCATGCTAAAGTTCACCAAATGACAAATTCCATCGGATTGTTTAAATCTGTTCACAAAACAATACATAGAAATTACAACTATTACAGAGAAGTTACATGTAACTTGTTTTCCTGGTGACTGTCTTAATGCTAGGCTAGGCTAATCATGTACTCTGGAACTGTGAGATGAGAATATCAGCATCAGCATAAAGGCTGGAAGTAGGCGGGAAAGAGCTCTAAATACCAAACATTGTGACTTTGGTGGTAGCGTGCAGAAACAGTCCTGTACTCCAGTGAAGTTTGGACAAAGCGTATCTGGCAACCCACGGTGTAGCCGGAGACGCAGTGGTGATGGGTTGCACTGGTGTTTGCCGATACATTGTTGGAACAACTCCCACTAAAACCACAAACAGATGAAATGTAGCGCACACCACATACAGCAAGTGATAAAGGTGTTAACGGTCTGTGTTTTCTTTTACTTTGGACAGGTTCAATCAAGCTTTTACCTTGAACCTGGTCTGTTTGCAAAGCTAGTTGACGTAAGAGACACAGTAAGCTTCTCAACTCAATCTATGGAGAAAAGAAATATGTAGGAAGTGAAATTTCACAAAATGCTGAACAAATTCCTTTAGGAAGAGGACACACAGCGACAGTTTAAAGTGTAATGTAGCTACTACTCAAGCTACAATTTAAGAGATTTACAAAAGAAGATTTCAGGCACCAAATGTAGAATAATAGGGCAGAGTTGTTGATTGAAATAACATTTAAATGCTGGTGAAAAGTGGTAAATACCGAGGTCAGAACATCAGTAACAGGAGGCTGGCTGTTTAGAAGCATTTAGAAAGTATGAAAACATTAGCATGGCTTGCATTGTTCAGTCACTTGCATATGGAACGGAATAAAACAGGAAACATGCGATACAATCATTAAACCATGAAAAAAAACTAAAAACAAGGTCCATGTTGGCATGCAGAAATGTAAAATTAAAACGATACTTCTGGAAGTATTTGAGATTAACAATAAACCCCTTAATGGAACATGAAAAAAGGGATAGAAGTTCCTTTTCTGGTGATATTATTTTGGGCCAAGTTCTTATATACACACTCACCTATTCTAGTAAAGATTTGGATTATTTCTTACTTCCTTAGTGGTCCAGCTAACCTCCCATTATGAAAAACAACCTTTTCCAGAATCAAATCAGCAGTAACACAATTTCCTACAAACCTGTTTAGTAGAAGATTTTGGAATAACAGGCCTCCACAGGATGGCTGCCTTTCAGTGACTTACGCATACGTAAGTCACTGAAAGGCAGCCCGATTACGCTACAATCTCGCTTTCCCAACAGGCCTTGGATGTGAAATATCTACAGGACGTGTATGGGTTGACTGGGTAGAAATTATGTTAACAATTAGACCAATAAAGCAGAAGAGAGTAAGCGATTCGATTAATTTCTTCAGCTTTATAGGTCTAACCGATTGCTTTTGAATTGAATCAATTATTCAATCCATAGAAGGCAATTTGCTAATGTTTTGACTCCTAACCTAGTCAGTTTTAACCAAAATTTCCAAACGTTGGCTTGTTTTAGCCACTAAATTAGAATTTGCTGCTTTTCCATTTACTGTATATAATAAAGCAAAACTTTTGAAACTAAAATATGTTGTCCCTGTGATCTTTATAAAAATACATTGTTCACCGTTTTGTGACCTTTGATAGACCAAACTATTCATTGGTTGATTAGTGGAGGTGAATCCATAATGAACAAAGGTCAGTTGCAGTCGGTTACTGACAGCTGGGGGAATAATACTCAAAACCTGTACAATTCCAATTCTAAAAGGACTAAAGGAATGCAGCCATTCTATCATCTTTGGCATTTTAAAAGGTTAAACATCTGAGCTGTTGAAAAACAATAAAACTTGCTTGGAAACTGCATAGGGCGTAAAATGGGTCAATTCCCTTAGAGCCAGTTTAACAGATTTATCCTCTGCAAAAGTATTTTAGAAAACAGTATTTGCAACATTTTTACATTACTTTGAACAATTTTTAGTCCGAAGAGTACATGCTAAAGGTTGACAAAATCCTGACAATCAGTAAACGAAGCCTGCAGATAGAATAAAATCCCCTTCAATTAAAAACATACAAAATGGACACAATTTGGACCATAAGACTTTACACCACAAGAGTAAAACAAAAAAGGTATTTGCCAACAAACTTAAGCGGTAAGCTTTGCAAATAGTTTACGGTCTGCACATGTAGGATAGCGAAGAACATAAAAATCCCTTAAACTAGGCAAGAAATTAAGCAAAAGTGACGAGCCAGATTAATATGAAATCACCTGAGTAATTTAAACCACCTCTACATACAACCTTTACTGATATAGTCCCCTCTCTTCAAGCTAGTGCTCTTGAATCTCCAAAATACAGTGTACCATTTTCACAGTTCAATTTGACCTGTGCAAGCATGATATTAATCATGCTTGCAGTACATATTTTACTAGAAAACGCACCTATGAAAAGATAAACTATGAATTACTAGAATATGTATTTACAGGAACCGAAATTGAACAAATGAAATGTGGATAGTCTTTAAAAATAAACTTTTTTTTGTTAATTGAAAAGGAACAGAATATCACATCTAAAAACGTGATGGAACCCTTTTCAGAAGAGTTTATTCCAGTCTCGGGTGGCCTCCATGAGGTGCCGCTGGCCGTGACCAATCCAATCTTCTTGGTTGCCAAAGAGTCGACCACAAAACCAGCAGTCAAACACCACAGGCTCTTCTCTGCAGCCTGAAAGAGTATCTACTACCTCATACTTTTTTTTACTTTTTCTCCTTAGCTTCAGCTTGAGAAGGAAGCGTTCTCGGACAGAACTCTGAACTGGCCGGGGTCTCGGCGCCTCCCTGTAAGACGGTGCACCTTTGGTCGAGGAATTCTTCTGTAAAGCGCCACGCTCGGAGAGCGCTTGGATTGTTTTCTGAGACAGGGAGACCTTAGTAACAACACCTTTGTGCCTGTTAACTATCTTCATAATATTGGCCACTTCGGGAATGTCACCATCTGGATGATTGAGCACCACCACAGGTTGGTATCTACGAGGGCATTTGATCAGCTGCAGAGAACTGAATGGGACGAGCCGTAGTGTCCTTTCAACGTCTTTGGCTACAGGCTTCCATAACACCGTAGTCTCTTTCTCGGTCAGTGCTTTGTTTGAGAGTCGTTTTGCTTTATGCACCGGTGCTGGAAGCTCGTCAAATAGTGCTTTCCTGCGCCTTTTCCTTTGGCTTGGTGGCCTAATTGGCCTTGGGGCCAGCATAGGTTTCTCTGCATCGTACGGTTGTGCCTTTACATTCATCTGAGAGGGTGAAATGAAAGATGTTGAATTGACGTCTTTGTGTGCAGTATTTTGTAGGGGGATCAGTTTCTTTACTCCAATAGAGGAATTTGTCTTGTTTGACGCCACTAGAAAACACTGGGTTTGAGGTCTGTTGGCCAAAAACAAAGGTTGACTGCTTGACGTGGCAGCGCAACTTGTAAGACGGCTACCGGTAGGAGTGACAAGTTTAAAAATGACTTTGTTTCCAGTACTTTCATTGGTTTGGCTACACCGAGCCCCAGTCTTTGGGTCTAAGTTGTTCGATAGTACGTTTGATTTGGGTGGAGAAATATATCGGAGCAAGAATGCCTGGCGACCAGTCTGCAGAGTGCTAGGTTTTTCTGAAGGACTCACAGGCATCGCCAGAACTGGCTTTGAGTTCAACTGGAGTTGTGTACTCGCCAGTCTGAGGCCAGGAGCACTGGGCGTCTGAACAAATGGGACGGACCTCTGTACAAAGTAGCAAGTTGGCGATGTCTTTGCCGTTTTGTCCGTAGGCGTGTTGTGTGGTGTGCTTGAGAAGAGTACGGGACCCTTAAAACCAGGGCTGTTGATAAGGTAGTGATTTGAGGTTGTCCCAGCACTTGGTTGAGGAGGAGAGAGAAGTGTACCTTTTTCAGAAGCTCCTGCCTTTAGTTCAGATGTACCTGCTGCGCTCTTGCTGCTTTGAGTGAAGGTTCCTCCTGCAGGGTTAGTTGATCTTTCTAACCCTGGCCTCATATAAGATACATTGATCTGGGGACTGGCAGAGTTGGTTATCAGTTTGAAACCTGGAGAGGTGTTGACCTGCACCGGAACAGCAAATTGATTCTCACTAGTTCTTAGTAGTACTGATTGCTTACCCTCTGACAATTGAAGAATTCGTAGAGCAGATTTTGCTTGTTTTAAAGAATCATTACTTGCACCCAAAGACCCAACTCTTTCCCTATGTAGTTGTTGGGTAATAATTGCATCTGAATGTTCCTCCACAAAAGTGCCTAAGAAATTTGAACTGCTCTTTGTGTCGGACTGTTTGTTGGATATAGGAATGCTCTCTTCCTCAATTTTGATGATATTAAAGTCTTGAAGCACTGACTCAGGATGTTCATCTTCAGTGGCAGGATCGTCAACACTAGCTATGCCCTCACCAATGTGACTCTCGGAGACCTTTTCAGTCGGGTTTTTATGACCCCTTTCTGTGAATAGCTCAGGAGTATCTCCCAACGTCAAACTAAACTGTGAGGATTTAAAAAGACTTTCTTCTGAATGATCAGACATATTGTCAAAGCTTTGGGTATTGCTAGGTGAAGTCCCATATGTTTCCTTGGAATAATTATGAAAATGAAATACGTCTTGGTTTGGGGAATTATGTGTGCAGCTAGGGAAACTCTCTCTGCGGTTAACTGAGGCGTACGAGGATGACTCCGATGAAGGTGCCGGGGTAGTCGAAAGCTTTTTAAAACGTAGCCTGTCATTTTTATGTTCAGTCTCCGTTCCCAATGCGTCGGTTTCTTCTGAGGTACTCTGAGAACATTGGTCATCATTTTCTATGTTGCATGTATCAATCAGCAATAACTCATTTGAAGCCCGACAGTTTTCAATGGTTTCTTTCAAGACTTGTTTGGCAGACAATATTTCCTCAGCATCTTTTGAAGGTGAAGATGAATCAGTGACCATGCCAGGAAACATCTTTGAAGTATAACTGATTTGAGAACCATTATGGCAGGTTGCATCACAGTTAAATGTTACAGAATTATGATGAAACTTAGTTCTTTCTGAGCAGGAGGCTTGCCTTGGCTGACCTTGGTCGTCCACATCATCAAACTCATTTGTAATGGGATGTAAGGTGGCTGCACAGGTGGAAGACCTACCTAGTGAGTGAGGAGTTTGTTCTCCATCTCGAGCAGGGGAATCATGGTTGCTAACAGAGGTTTCTTCCTCCTCAATCTTAACTTTTACTGCCACGATATCGCCTTGATCTATCTGCAGGCTAGATTCACTTCTTGGTGAAACGGCCAAACTATGTGATGTAGAATTCCTGCTGTTAGAGCACTCCCCATTCTCATTTGGGACTCTACTTTTCTCCAACACAGGACTTGGTGCTGAGGACCCCAAATCTTCAATAAAGGAATGGTTTTGAGTGGATACATCTTGCTTTGTTGTTGGTATTACTTTGAGAACTAAATGTTTTTTGCCATCAACCATCTTGAATCCCATCACTTTGGTTGTACAGTTGGGGGGGAGAGAGATTTTGTTCTTAACCATCAGAACAGTGAGACCATTAGGACTAGTGTGACTTGCAGAACTTTCAGAGTTGTCACATTCCTGTAACATTATTGGCATTGATTGCTCTGTGTAATGAGAGCCTTTACCCATATTTTTGTTTTCCTTTTTGGAATCCACAAAGTGGTGGGTCTCTTCAACGGATATCTCTGGTTTGATTAGCCTGCCATTTTGGTTGGTGAAATTCCCGGACAGACAGTTCAGTTTCGATATCCTCTGAGCCTCCTGTGATTCACTACTCTTTTTCAGCAAAAGTTTTAAGCTTGCAGATGCATTTGCTGGGATTCCGCTATCGTCAATAGCCTTCAATACATTCCTTCTTTCAGCTTCTTCTTTGTGAACTGCTGCTGTGTGTTTTTTAAGATACTCGCCCCTTGCCGAACCATATCCACAGATCTGGCAGGTGTAGGGGAATGTCCCAGAGTGGGCTTTCATGTGCTTGTGGTGATCCTCCTCGTTCAGGCTGATATGTCTACATTTGGAGCACTTCCAAGGACTCTCATTGTGATGATGAATGTGCTGGACGAATGTACCTGCGTCCACAGTTGTAAAGTCACACCAGTCACAGGTAAACTGTCCATTTAGACTGTGACACATGATGTAATGTCTGGTAAGCAAAAGCAGAGAGTACTGCACATCATTGTCGCAGAGCTCGCATGTCACAAGAGTATTCCTGTGCTCAATCCGATGACGTTGAAGAGCAGGGAACTCGTTTGTGACAAAACCGCACAGGTCACAAGGGTATGTAGGGAGGGTTCCTTTATGGGCTGCTCGAAAATGTTTAAGGAGATCATTGGGGCTGTATCTGCAATCATCTTTGCACACAGAGCATCCAAAACTGAGAATTTTTCCAGAGAAAACAGCCCCCTGCTGTATTTTACAGTGGGCTTTATTCAGAGTTGGTTTATCTTTACTGATGGAGCTCCCATGCTCCTTGAGGGAAGAGTCTTCTGCATTATTGAAGAGTGCCCCATCCGCAACTTCTCTGAAATGCTTAAACACAAAGTCTTTTACCTTCTCATCCCCAGTTACTGATATGCTGCAGTTTTTGGCAGAATCGTTAAGTATTGTGAGATCTTCTTCCATAGTTGTAAATCTACAGGTATCTGCAAGAGAAGTAAACAAATATGGTTATTAGTACAATCAATAGGGTCCAATTTACTGCATAATTCCATGCCCTCTAGGCCTGCATGATAAGAGGAAAAAAGGAAATGAGCAATAAAAAATTTCAATATTGCCATAACAATATGACCTGCAATAAATACAAAATAAAAATGGCATGGGCATATTAGCTTTACATTTTTCATGGTAGAATCATTAATGCCTCTTGCCTGTGCTGGAAGAGGTCTCAGCGTGCAGCTGAAGTTTTTCAATTATCTTATTGTTGGGCTATGAATACATTTGAAATATTTTGCAACGATGTGAGGCATCCGGGACAGTGGATCATTGCATGTGTGCAGATTGTAAAAGCCATCTAAGGCAATTTCGGTATTTACAAACTTAGAGGAAAGACCGTTATCTGCAGCTCACCAAAACAAAAAGGCCAAATACAGATATTGAGAGACATTTAGTCAAAACACTGCCTCTGGCCTGCATACCAGTGGTGTTGGTGGAGACGGAAGTGATATGCATTGCTGGCTGCACGCTCAAAAGTGTACTTCTTAAAGACTTGTTCCTTTGCTCTCCCGCAAAGCATATTACAAATCTCAGGAAGGGAAAATAAAGGGTGGATTATGCATATGCATTTGCCTTAGTGAACCTTCAAACTGTCCGTATGTTGTCCCTCAGAGGCATGCGGCTCCTATCCGTCCATGACCTGACAACTGAACTCAGTTTATACTCGCTGTACTGAAGCCATAAAAGGACTCAATAACGGCGGCCGTGTGAGACAAAAGTCTGCAGGGGTCCCCGTGTATCTAGGCATTTCTGCAACTTGGTGCGAACTTCATTTGATTGTCACAAGTTGTCATAAAAGCACCATTTGCACTGCTGGGAATCATGCATAAAAGGTCAACTCACTTTCAGATGCTTCAGAAACAGGAAGTGTTAAGAAGCTACATTTGAGTGAATATTGTTCAGCCAAATCAAATAATATATACTATATTACACATTTGTTTCCTTATGATTATGTCATGCTCTGCACAGGGCTTGCAAAACGAAAATGTATTAGACCCTGAATATGAAATGAACTTGAAGTTAATTACAATCCCTCTTTTTTTTTTTATTGTGGAAGTTAGTTTATGGCCTTTGCCAGTTCTGCCTACATGCTGTGTATTACACCCTCTTCTTTAAGATTCTTCACAGCTTTTCACATTGTGGACGATTGCTCCCTGACACTAGCCGTTAGCATAAACATAGCTTTACATCGCGGCGTAATACAGAACAGCCACCTAAACAACGTCATGCAAACCAGTACGACAGCTCTGCTCTATATTCAGCTCTTAAAGTGAAAAACGACGGCCCTGCCTGCCCAATAAGCAGGGGGTGCTGCTGATTTACAGTCTTTTTAATGTTGAAATCTAATTTTACTGAAACATTACAGCCTACTCTTACTAAACAGACTCATCTCTGGATCTTTGCTAAACAATGAGCTCTGCGGCACTATGCAGACACACCAGGTCTCCGCTTCCAAGCTCCTGATGAACAATGTGTAGATGACTTAACTATTTCATGATGACGACACTCAATGATCATTTCCGTTTTAAAAACTAGCGCTCATGTGGAATTTTAGAGTCGGCAATGCTGTTCAGCACCAATAAATGGGACAGCAACCAGTGAAGACAGCATAGCCTGACGGTCCATAAGGGGGGGGGTCTCTGTCAGAGGGCCATGGAGCCCTTTATCAAAAGACGATGTTTGGAAAGGTTACGGGATTTTCCAACTAGAAGGGCTCGGAGTGGTCGCCCTAAACACCTTCAACCTCTGGATGCAGCTCAGCCGCCAAATACACTCGCTCGCCTCACACTACTTTTATTCATTTGATCCAAGGCCACCAAGGGAAGCTAGAGCTTCACTGCTGATACCGCTGTTCACTACACCTAAATGTCATCAAAGGGCCGCTGCAACTTCAAAATGGTGGAATATTAGTTAAATATGTGCCAAAATACATTTTGAAGTGAAACATTGTGGTACTATCTCAACCTAAACACCATGTTCTACCGATTTCAACAAAATATTTGTTTGGCAGAGCTTTCAGATGAAAAATATATATGAATAAAGAACACCATGATGATTTTAATGAGAAAAAAGAACTGACATTTCCCTGAGTAGGGCAACTCCTATGACGATTGCCATATCGCTCTAAATGATTGAAAATTAGATGTCGTTGGGCCCTATCGCTGTGGTGGAAATAAAATGGTTGATCAGTTAATACAAAGTTATTACCTGTACTCCTTTAGTACAACTCAGACATGCATGTCGGGTCTGAAGAACAGAAGCTCCACTGGACCTGGAAGCAGAAGAGAAAGGGTAAATGTGGTCATTTAACCCCAAGAACAGCTCAATGACACATTTTTATTATTCATTTCATGAATACTGAAATGATCTTCAACCAACAGAAACCAGTGCCCACTGGTTCTGCTACACCCCGAACCACCACTGAGGGACATAGAGGACACGTCTTCCTTTAAATCATAAATGAATGCAATAGTTTCCTGGTCTTTTGTCTCATTGTAAAGTGTCTAAAAGGTTTTTTTGGACTGATTAGGTTTTGCTATTTTTCTTTTTATTCTTTACAAGCTAAATGATTTTAATTAAATGAACTCTGTAAAGTGAATAAGTGAGCCATCCTCATCATCAGGAGCCTTCATTAATTAAGTATTTAACCATTAGTATGTATGTCTCCCATATGTATACATATGCTTTGTGTGCACTGAGACACACACACAGGGATGATTTCTGAAATTGATTTTCACTTACATTAAGATCAGTTCAGCCAGCTTTGCAGCAATGATATCACCATAACGTAAAAGCATTTAACGGTATCACATTTACAAGTGAGCAAACCTGTACAGTTACAATACCACATGACAAAAGAACCAGTGCTTTGAGGGCCATAATCCAGCACAAAATGTTTCCATGTGTCTCAAGCTGTGAGGCTGCTTTTCATTCTCTCAGGGAATCAACACAATGAAGGTACCAATAGTTCCAACCATTTAAGCTCCATGTGTTATTGCATGCTATGGCTACCTTCCACTTCTGTGAACTTTCTACTGTCTAACTTCACTACCTTTTTCATTGTCAAACTTTCATCCGTCCTGAGCAGAGAGGACTCAAAAGACATCAGACACATAGAAAACTAGTGGCATTCTCCTTTAATACCTTCTGTACCCAGCGTGAAGACCTAATGTTTCCTTTTTCCCCACTATTTAACAAGTGAAGTAATTAATTGTTTAGCAGATTAGGTCGACACCCGTTTCTTAAAGTATACTTTTCGTGGAGCAGTGATTAAAAGTATTCAATGTGAGCATTACTCCCATTGAATTGGATCATTACGGACTGATGAAGACTGTTGAAACGGTCTAGCAGGAAGGAGATTTCCCCCGTGGCACATCTACCAGAACCATGGGCAAGCTGATCGCGCACCCAGCGCGCAACAGGGAGTGCTCTCTTTAAACAAGTCATTTTGACTTTTACACAAACAAGTACTCGGCATGGAGGCCCACATTAGCAGTCAACTGCTTACGCCTCAGTCAGCTGTCAACCTTGTGGATCTGAGGCAGCCATGTTGGGGGGAAAAATGGCTGCCGTGACTTTATGAAGCAGTCGAAGAGAGAAGGATCAGTGCCAACATTGTCTTCAACAAACACACACATCATTTAAATACCTATAACTTACTGTCCAAATGCAAACTATACACTAGATGAGGCTACATTTTTTTATTATTTATAATAAAACTGGATGAAACTAAGAGTGATTAAAGTGAGCAGAACTTGAGTGAAACACCTGGACGCAGACAGGTATGCTCCTCTCGGTCCGCGCGACTTAACGTTACACAAGACGGATATAAATGAAGCTCGGTGATGAAGAGGAAAAGTTCCATCGTGTCATACTGCAATTAACGTGATACTCCAGCTCCGCTGCAACATCACACGGGGCACAACTACAACATGCCGGGAACACGAGAAGCTCGCCCGGCGCGTTTACAAACAACATCATTTAACGTTACGTTTACTTCTTCCGAGCGACTTGCTCCACCGTCGCTTATAAGTTTAGGGACCGCTGCATCAGTGGGATACGCGAAAGGCTGAAGACGGACACCAACAAAGGACTGAAGCAGGGACGCTGCCATGTGTTGTGGCACTGTGGCAATTACGATACCGACACACCGACCGACGAGCCACTTCGCAATAACGTTAACTGTCTGTGGAGTTGAATAACCAGCTATTATACACCTAAATAAAGCCCCCTCCCACGCAAAGACATTTAAAGTTACAGAATCTCTGCAGGTCCTTACTGTGAACTCGATGGAAGTTCAGGTGGCGTCCTCGTCAACGTCCGACATGGTGAAAAGGAGGTTACGGTACAAAAAAACACACCGTACAAACATTCGCCTTCCTTCTCTCCCCTCTATGGATCCACAGCGACGGCGGCCATGACAGTCCATCCGGGTACTGACGCGCTCTTGACACTCATGTAGGAGCGGATGAATATGTAATGCTTGTCAAATACCTAACTAGTGCCGCGAAGGGCATTTTCTCGTAGAAAACACAGTTGAGACAACTTTCACCCAAGTGTGAAGCTATTTTGTTTCGCGGAACGCCCATAAGAACCTCGCTGTTGTTTTTCGCAGCGTGAGCCCTACGTCATTCGCTGCCCATGAGTGTGTGTGTGTGTCCTAGGTGGAAGAAGAAGCAATGAGCAGCAATGGCGGATGTACGCCATTTCCTACTGAATGCGTTTCATGTAGGATGCCATACCTGCGTGGATTCCCAATCCCGCATTATTTATTGTCAGTGCTAAATTCTTTGATTGAATCATTTATGTCCATTTCGCTCCCTTTTCTCTCTCTCTCTGTTTGGGTGTCTGTATAACACAGACACACACACATCAACTGGCATCCATTGTAGTCTGTCCATCCCGGGAGTCTGATCCTCCTCTGACGTTCTCCCTGAGCTTTCTTCCCTTTTTTCCCCATGGAAGGGTTTTTGTGTTTTGGGGAGTTTTTCCTGTGCCGATGTGAGGGTTTTGGGACAGAGATGTCGTATGTGTACAGACTGTAAAACCCTCTGAGGCAAATTTGTAATTTGCAATTTTGGGCTATACAAAATGAAATGGATTTAATTGAATGAACTACACTCACGCATACGCACATGCACATTCACAAACTCCTATTAATGGAGGATGCAAAGCTTATTCAGTGTTGGCTCATCTCCCTATTGAAACGTTATGACGATGCACTGTATCAGCACCCTGGATTTAAAGGTGTCTGTAATGTGTTTCCTTGCGTCCCTCTTCCTCTCTGCTCCTTTGATAATTAGGAATGTGTATATATGTAACCCTATATAGAATGTTGGAAATACATAATTTAACACATATACAGGGAAATACATTTCAACTCATATTCATACCCCTACACCTCAATTTCCTTTGTATTAATTGAACATTTGGCCGCGCCACCCATTAGGTGGTGGTCTGAGGAACCACCAGGGGCCACGGCCCTACAGCTATGATTTTGGTTTTCATCAGTCTTGAGGGATAACATAAAGTTAAAGTCTTATCTTTTAAATACTTCCAATTAAAGAGGTTTCCCATAATGGCACATTGAAAGACAACTGAACAACACTATTTGATAGTGTCATTTGATTTCTAGTTTGGGACGTTACCATTTCAGTTGCCACATTTGGCAAATTAAGATGTTGCACATGTTCAGCCGACATGGTAGTAGCTAGTGTGTAAATATAAACAGTTCAGACAGTGCGTTTAAAACTGGAGTCTGTCATAATATGCGGGTGGCCCCAACATAGCAGCATTCTGAATATTTTGGGTGGCCAGTTATAGCTGAAAACTCAAGCCTCGTGGTTGCAGTTAAACACACTCAAACACCTTTCGTAGTCTGTTTACTGTGGCCATTTAAGTGCCCGGTGACTCCTAATTCATTACTGTTGGCCGGTGGGGACTAACGGAGACAAGGGTTTCCAAAAAGAACAAAGTGTTTTTTCTTGTCATTGTACTATATATACAAGATAAAAAATACAGACTTAAAAGAGTTTAACTACGGTAATACAATGCTGTATAAACAAATAGTGCTGCGAAACGTCACACTTGTGTAAACATTGAAAGTGCATGTGTAAAGCGTTTTCAGAAAGTTACATACGGTGGTTTGTGGGTGTGTAGAAGGGGGGTAGATGAGGGTTGATGGAGGCTACAGACCGTGGTTTATTAATAAGGGAAGGCTCTGTGTAGCAACCGCTAAACATGTTGTACTAGACTGGCTTGAACTCTCATTTGCATCCACCAAAAGTCCTCTCTTTGGCCACTGACATGCTCACATTACATTGTTGTTATAAGAGCTATTTATCTGCTGTTAGTATTCAATTCAATTCATTTTATTTTGTATAGCCCATAATCGCAAATTACAAATTTGCCTCAGAGGGCTTTACAGTCTGTACACATACAACATCCTCTGTCCCGAAACCCACCATCGGCACAGGAAAAACTCTCTAAAAAATTAAAAAACCCTTCCAAGAGGGAAAAAAGGGAAGAAACCTTAGGGAGAACGTCAGAGGAGGGATCCCACTCCCGGGATGGACAGACTACAATGGATGCCATGTGTACAGAATGAACAATGTATAATACATGCAATTCCTATGACAGAAATTATTCAAGTAACTGTGAGTAGTAAGCCAGGCGCACAGCAGGACCACTGCAGGGGCAACCACCATCAGATAGAACCACCATCAGATAGAACCACCATCAGATAGAACCACCATCCACAGAAGCCTGTGGGGAGGGAGAGCACAGAGACTTTAGGAGAGGGTAATGTTGGTTTACGAGTACAGTAATATGATTAATATCTAAAATAATAATGATGATGTTGATGGCTGCAGCAGGCGTCAGCAGGGCCACGGCAGGTGTCAGGACCAGGATCCCGAAGGAACCACGATCTACGAAGACCTGATAGGGGAGAAAGCACAAAAAAAAACTCCCGGAAAGAAGCTGAATTAGTCATGTGCATTAATAAAACGTGAATTATGGTAGAACGAGAGCGTGAGAGAGGAGCTCGGTGTGTCCTAAGAAGTCCCCCGGCAATCTAAGCCTATAGCAGCTTAACTAAGGGCTGGTCCGGACTAACCTGAGCCAGCCCTAACTATAGGCAGAATCAAAGAGGAAAGTTTTAAGTTTTACTTTGAAAGAGCTGACCGAATCTGCCCCCCGGACTGAAAGTGGAACCTGGTTCCACAAAAGAGGAGCTTGATAACTGAAGGCTATCAGTATTCAGTTATTTAGAATTATCTTGCTTTTATGATATATATAAATATTGCTTTTTCACTTTAATAGTCAGTTTAGTTGATTTCTGTTGTTATTCAAGTATACATAGTTTTAGGTTAGTTTGTTTGATAATTACCGGTGGTAATATTAAGTAAATAGAGCGGGACCAGCGTGGACCGGGGTGGGCCTGTGATGTTTTACCAGCCCAGAAGCGGCCGTGACAGGAGTTTTCTTTGTTTGTCTGTTTGTTTTGTGGGCCAATATAGTTTTTTTTTACGGCTCAGTCTTCGGGCTGCGTAAGCCACCAACCAACAGTGTATCTTTTGCCCTTTGGTTTTGTTTTGGGATTTGTTGGACATAACCATGAACTACAATAAGTGTCTGACAACATTATGTAAAGTTTGTTGCTCAAGAAAAAGTCTCAGACTAAAATCTTTTTATGTGACGCCTTGGCGAAAGACAACAGAAATGCGTGTTCCATTTGGGCAGCGTTTGTTGTGTTGGAGTTGAGAAAGTGCAGCTCCGTGGTCTAAAGCGATATTCAGTGTTACAGTGGTCTTTGAATTTGATGGCCGCCCGTAGTCGAGACTTGGTTCATTGCCAGTTACAGAAATGTTCCTCAATACTAGACCAATGTGAAAATGTCTTCCTATAACTCACTTAGACACAAAACATGGCAAAACAGGATCCAGGCTGAAAAACACTGAATCACCTTTAAGATCATTCCTGATTCTGAGGTGGAACAGGTTGTCATAGTTTGCATCTAACTACTTATGCTTTTTTTTAAAAGAGTTTGATTTATTTAAGCAGAGCAGCTGCATTCTGCGTCAGCTGAACGTGTGAATTTTTTTTAAATTAATTTTTATATTTAATGAATAGCCAATAAAATATATGTGCAAATTCATGAACTACATTGTATACTCAGTAGGCTACTAAATATAACTCTCCTATGAACCCAGAGTCTTCCCCATACCAGGATGGTTTGACCCGACCTGGCACACGCCACCTGTCATCACCTATCACTGCCGCGTTAAAAACTCCAACCAGGAGTTGTGGTTGAAGCGGAACAGAAATAATGCTGAAAACACAGAGGAACGAGAGCCAAAGAAAGACTAAACCGCAGGAATAAAAAAAATCTTCAGTATTCAGAAGAATATGTTTTGATGGGATCTATATCCAAGGCTTTTGTTTTTTTAGTGTTGAAAAAAAGATCAGACACGGATGGTGCGGTGCTGTGTTTCAACCCAGAATACTTTGCGCTGGTTAAAGGGTACTTGGCTAAACAGATATTTCCTAGGAGGTACATCACTCAAAAAAGGTTGAGAACCACTGGTCTAGAGAAGCACTGCATTGTAATTTTATAGTATCACATTTGACTACTTTCAGTGGTGTTCTAAACTTTAATACGGACTGTTCAATATCTGATACATCCCTAAATGTTTGACTAAATAGCAGTTTTTGGAGCTCCTTGACCAAAACCCCAGACCAGAGATATATATTATCCAAGAGTCTAAATACAGTCACCTATCTGCGGGTCTCTCAGTGAGCTACGGCCAATGAGATCTTAAGACACGCATTAAGATCTGGTGGAGTGGTTTCCCGTAACAATAAGAACTTTGCAGCACTGAGATGTTGCTGTTGTTGTGGAGGAGACAACCATTCAAGTCTCCCTCAATCTGCATGAAGAGTCAAGGGTTCAGGCACCAAACCCACAAATTGCCTTTGATGACTGTTCCAATTGGTGTGAGAATGAATATTCAAATTAGATGCCGATGGCTTTGTGATAAGATGGGTTTGGCTATTGAGCTATACCAAATGCAGGCTACCATTTACAATGAGAAAGTTAAATGTAGTTGACGACCACAGCAACAGCTTTATATGCTTTGATACACAGTAAAAAAGGTTTAGTAAGCAATTTACGAATATGGGACTGATGCCCTACTTTCCCGTACGCTTGCTATCGGGTAATACCAGCTTAACTTCCTTCACACGAATAGAACAGATATGGGACCAAGAGACACATTATTATTATAATACATTATTATTATTCACTTGTCAATTGGTTGACCAGCTTCCAGAAACAACTTCTGATGTGTAATTAGTTTGTTTTTCATTTTAACATGTGTATATTCTCTAAGTGTAAATTACCATGAACAGCATTTTCCTGAAGTTCAAAAAAATGGTCAATTGTCATTTGAGAAGTGAAGGTGCTTTCATGACTGACAGCCTTTACACCTCATGCTTCTCCCATCAGGCTGAATGAAGGGGCTTGTATTTAAAATTAGGAAAATGTTAATGTATGTTCTCACAATCGATGGTTATTTCAACTACAGGGTTGAAGGGTCACTTTATGTACAGTGAGTCCCTTGATTACTGATTGACTCTGAGCTTTCCTATTAGAGTG